GAATATGTTTTAAGTTTGGACAAAAGTAAAGATGTATCTCTTCAATTATTGGACTTCCAATTGAAATATGTTGACTAGTTGGATCCCTTTCGCTATTGCTAAAAGTATACACATTACAAGAATGCATACCAGTGTTTAATTACTTGGCAGTGAATTCGGGCCAATAGTTTACATAATAACGATGTGTTAAACCTTCAAATAATCTATCTAACCACATAGGTAGACCATCCAAAAGATTATCTTGATACAAAACATTGTTTCCACACTGTAAAGATAATAATTTACATAAATTATTCAGACTTTATTTTGTTAACAAAACTTCTACCGAATTATATTTATTTGATACCTCATCTTCAGAAAGGTCGGATTCATTAGAACTGTTAAAACCAATAAATGCACCAGCTTCAGCGTCATCTACTCTTCTCGTTAATTGTTTTGTCATTCGTTCCATTCGCTACAAATATAATTACTGGTGACCATTCTTTTATTTTTAAGTGTGAGGTACTTATAAATAAATTTTTTCAATATACACCTTGGAACCTTTGCCTTTACTGCATTCTGGATGTTTGGCATGGTACATACAAAAATATTTACGGTGCCCATTTAATGATAGTACAGTGCCAACACAATTTTTGGCATTTATATTTAATTCTTTTTGTTCTGGCAAAGTGAGGGATAGCAACTTTTTATACCAATCTAGTCCTCTCTCAAGAGACATGTGCCCAAACATAAGGGTCTTATTTTTTCTGTATTAAAAAAACAGAATAGATTTATTTTGATATAATGATAAAATTGAACTTTATCAACTTACCTATAAGGCCACACAGCTTTATGAAAAGCTGGTAATAATTTTAGTCTACTTTGAGCATCAACTAATAGTATAATGGTTCTACAGCCTGGTTTTAATAGTCGAACTAAACCATTATATTTTTCTGCGCGTAGTTCATGTAATCGTAATTGCGGCTGTGATGGTGTTGATTTACTGGTATCCTTACATTGAGCACGTTCAGCTTGAACACTCGCTTCTTCTAATTTCCTACAATAAAATATTATATTCAGAAACTTGTTTTGTGGTGTCAATTTTTTTTCTAATTTTTAATTACTCACACTAAGTATGACATTCCGTATCCAGCAGCACCGATTAATATTAGAGTAGCAATTACGGATACTAAAGGCAAAATCTGCTCTTTAGTAAGACTATCCGATATATAATCTACAGCTAACAATGCCTTGCCAATAAGTTTATCTACAGTACCCTGTAGAACAAATTAAATTGAAATAGCTATGCACGTTAAGCTTCTAAAAGATTCAGGTATTTACCTGTGCATGTTCATCAGCTAATTCTCCTACAACTGCAGCATACGACAATGCTTCAGTTGCTCGCAATAATCTTTGTATAGTCTGTTCCAAATTTCGACGTGTTTCGTTCCACTGATTCTCATCTTGAGCTGCTTCAACCCAACCAGTGGGCAACCACTCGTACTTTAGATGATTTGCATCTCTTCTCCAGATAATGACAATATGTAACAGAGGTTCTAACGGACTGCCTTCGCCCGTTGACAGTGCTGATACAAACTCTGGTTGTGTATCTTTAAATACATATGTGTATCTGACTCGCTCAGTGCTATAAATTTGAATGAAGCAACTGTTATATGTTGACATAGTTCTTAAATGAATTTAACTATACACCCACGATAATATATATTACCTGTAAGACGATTCTAGAGCTGCCTGTCTAAATTTATGTCTTGCAAAATCATGAAGAGGGTTATTTTGTTGAGATATTAAAACTGCACACAATCGTTTTTGTGGTCTTAACCATTCAGGAGGGCAAACAGAGTCTAACATTGCTTGGTTTGAAAGTCTTGGTAAAGCAAGGAATTTATTGTTTGATATAATATTGTGCATTGTATCACTAGATATATCCTTCATACTAACGGATGCCATAGGTTTCTCAGAATTTTCGTTGAACAACAACAGAGTATCTAAGTCCGCAGAAATCTTATACTTTGTTACGATAGATTCAGTGTCTTCGTTTCCAGTCTATAAAAATTAAAGTATACCACACTGAAAGGTTAAATACTTCTTAAAATACTTAATCATACAATTCAATATAAAATCTTTACCTGAACAAAACCAAATGCAACGCGATCTCTGTAGTAAAATGCAATAAATAGATATCGTAATCGTATAGATTCTTTCCTATCAAAAATTAAAGCTCGAATTCGATTATCTAACCATCCTGAGAGAAAATTGTCTACATTGTTTTCATTTATGGTAGGTATCAATTTGTATGGGAATTTGCTGCGTAAGAAGTCTGAAATATAAAAATCATTTAAAATTCAAGACTGAAAATCGGTATATTACTTAAAGTACTCAATTTAGATTTCAAATACACACCAACAATCTTCTGCACACTGAAAAGAGATTCTTTATACACACTGGTACGACCCTCTATTGTCACGACAAGGCATGGCACAGAATGAATACTTAATCTTCTTGCCAAAGCAGATTCTTTCTCAGCATGTGCAGTTGCTAAACCAAGACCCAACGGTTCTAACTCGTCAACCAAACGGCGCCATGTTGGTTCTACTTGCAAACATGCAAAACACCAATCCGAATAAAATAACATTATATAAGGTGTACGAAAAGTTTTTGGTATTATTACATTTTCAAATGATCTGCAATAAATATATTTATATTTAAAATATCACAGGGGATAACACAAATGCATCGAATTTGGATAAATTCTCTCATGAAACATGTACAAACCGATATGTGATGCTCATCTTATAAAAGAGTGAAATATCTCGAGTTTGATAATGGTATTTGAAATTTCCACCAAAAAATTCTTCCAATGGATCGAGAGCATTATATTGACTACTATCTCTTCTTTGCCTGGGAATACTTTCTTCTGTAATTCCATGATTATCAAATTTTTTTCTCCTTTCCGGATCTGTCAAAATCTGTGGAAATAAGCGATTAACATGACATCCATTAAATCATACATAATGTATCCTACTTGACAGAACATTAATTTTACCTCATACGCCTTTGTGATTTCTACAAATTTATTTTCTGCAGCAGGATGATCAGTTTTATCAGGATGCCTAAAGAAGTGACATGTAATTTGTAAACATTAAGTAGATATTTTGATGTTTGTGATGAGTACAATACTAAATATAAAATGTTATTTTTATTAATAGTACGGCTTTTTCATATATAAATCGATTGTAGGACATGGAAAATCAAGACTAGACGTCCGCATTTCGACAATAAATAAAATATCATAATCACACCGAGAGATAATTACCATTCTTTCACAAGATTTTTATACGCCTTTCGAATTTCTTGTAAGGTTGCACGTTTGTGGACACCTAAGATTTTATACGGGTTTCCCAATGATTCGATCCCACCAGCCGACGACAATAAATTAGTTGTTATAATGAAAATCACGATAAAAAATGAGAACCTCATTAATAATTCTATATTAACCACTCTTCTGTTAATATTATCCGATCGTTTGCTTACTGACTCCGAGGTTCTTAAAAAATTAATCGATAACATTATTTGTGATACAGTTTTAACGTGCGTGTATGTCTATCGAATTATACACTTTAACATGAAGTCAACATGGGCTAAAACTATCCCGTTTTCTCTTTACAATGTTTAGCAAACATGTTCAGCACAAATTTTGGCTTATTTTTACGCCGGAAACTCTGTCATTGCAGATTTATAGTGATGTTTCTGCATGACCATGTTGTCAAATCGGATATATACAGTGGACATTAAATCCTAGAATGCTCTAGTAGAAGGGTAGGATCGATTACAAGAGGGCGCTAAAATAGATAAAATTTTTCTTTCCACATTTTCCAATTTATTTCTAAATATTCATTTTATGCGATACAGTAGAATAAAAGCTGCATATATCTAAGCTCGCGGAAATCCTATGATTTTATTCCTTTAATTTATAGTACATTGTAAGATCAGTCACCGAGTTTGTTAAGGCAATAAAATATGCACAGATACGACTTCTACACGTATGTATTCTTATGATAGCGTATTTACAAGGTGTACATTGTACGTAGTTTGTACCTTTGAAATATAAAAATTTAATTTTCCACAAGAAACGAATAAATAATTAATATACTTTTTAAATTAAAATCGTTTAACTATATATTTTCATTGCATTGTCACTGAGGAATAGTATACGTACAAAAGCTTCGCGTATGTTATTCAGAATATATAAATTTATAACATATAAAAGAATATTAATAAATTTGAGAAAGTTAAATTTAGGGGGGTGATTAGAAATTTCAACACTACCTATTAAATGTAATAGGGAAAGGTCTTAAGATTAAAATGTAAAACAGCAAGTTATGTATATATAACTAAATACAATATACATACACACGTAATAACACATGTATGTATGTTTTTACAGTTAGAGCATTGCTCTAAGATTGTACATACATATGTATACATAATTTACAAAAATCAGCAGAATTTCAACACCCTTAGCTAGTAATTTTATGTGGCAACTTTTACACAAGAAGTCACTAGTTACATAGTAATTTCATGGTTAAATTTTACCAGCTCCTAATACGACTATGAAAACGAACTATAAAATTAGAGCGAGCGGATTCTAATGAAATTAATCAATCTGCAGGGCGAAACAATTGTTCCCTTAATAAGATACTAAATAAATAACACGTAATTCGATTGAAAACAACCTCCTCCTTTATTATGTTCGAACATGTAACAATAGTATATGTACCGTATACGAATCGTCACATCTACGATTTGAATGAAATGGGAACTCTTAATCGCATTGGTATCCTCTATACCACACATTTACATTAAACATACATCTATACTACCGAAAAATATTATTAATTGAGGACACAACAAATTATTTTAATATCGCTTTGACAAATAATCAATGTTTCGATAATCTTTCACGGTATGAAATGAAACTTACGTATGACATAACATCCAATATTATAGATCGACTTTAATGCAGAAAAATGGCTGGTACTACTTGGACCGAGGACGAAATTGGACGAAAATGGGATCGATGTTTCACAGATGCAATTTTTAAATTAGGTAAATATTATTCTCTTGTATTCGTAAATCTTATTAAGGTATGAAGAAATATTAAGTTTTTTATTGATATTAATACTGTGACGTTTTCTTAGGTGGAGGAACTTTGCTCGGTGGTATATTTTCCCTGTTTTTCTTCAAACGTAAGGCACAATTACTTCAATATTCGTTTAATTACAAAGTAAGATAATTCCGTTTTTAACCATAAAAAAAGATTTATAGTTTATGTAATGCTACACCCCTTAGTCTATGTTGCCTTGACATCGATATTTAAAGACTTGATTTTGAAGGTTAAGATAACACGATTTGTGACAGAAAAATGTACTTAAATTTGTATTTTCAATGATATAGAATATGATTATACATTTCAACGTACATAATTATCCAAATTGTGATATCATATTTTTTAAAAATACATCACTGTGCACGGAAAATAGGTTATGTACCCTATCATTAACTCATATATGTTTATAAAATTGTTAATTTTTTGTAGGTAGAAAATGGCCTGTTATAACGGGAGCAGGTTTCGGATTAGGTATGGCATATTCTAATTGTCAAGAGGACTTAAATTCAACTGTAAGGCTACAAACATCTAGAGACTGCAGCAAAGTTTCTAAAGATGCAGCAAAGAAGAGTTCTTAGCGTGTTTATTTACAAAAATTGTTATGCT